CTTTACTCAGCAAACAGTGGCCTGGTTCATGTGCCCCAGGCGGGCAGTCAGAGTGGGGCACACAAAGTGTGCTTTCACGTGGGCTTTCAGATATTCTGCCTGTGCTCTCCGCACTTTATCCTGGAGTCCCTCTGACTCATTCCCCTCCCTCCCGCCCACTTCAAGACTTACCCCTATCACTACCACCCCACCTCCAAGCTCTCAATGCCACCCCCCCCACTCCCTAGCTCAGCTGCCAGGCCAACTATGTAAAAGTGTTATATATGTTTGAAACATTTCAATTCCTCCTGATATGAAATAAATGTAAATTGCAGTGTATGAAGACAACGTGATTTTCTTTCAGTGTCCTGGCCAACAATTTTCCTGATAAAATTGGTCATTGACTTCAAAGCTGTTTGTGAGACTTTGCTATCTGCAAATTGGTTGATGAGTTGGTCTACACACTCACAGCACAAAATGTTTTTGCTGCATCACATAAAACTAGGTTCAGATGGTTTAGGGATAGGGGCAGTAGTGCTCTGTGGGAAGAGTTATAAATGACTTAGCCTCTTGCCAAAGAGAACAATTGTTGGAATTTATTGGTTTTGTGAGTATGGCTAAGACATCCTAAATTTTGACATTAAATCATAGTGTAGCCTGCTCCCTACTGGTTAAATATGTTTCTTTAAGCCAACACATACCTGGGTAAAAATTCCATCTGGGTCTAGGTTTACTTTATTAACATAACAGTTCAGAGTACGCAGAATTTGGCAATTTATTGAATTCAGTGCTAACTTTGAAGCCAGTTTCCTGTAGTTCTTAAAATAATTCCTCTGAGTCAGAGGATTGTGGGTTCAAGCCACTTATCAGTACTTTGTACTCGTTTTCAAATCCCTTCATGCTCCGGTACCTCCCTATCTTTCCAACCAGCTTACCCCCCGAACCCACAGCCTCCGCTCGACTGGCTCCGGCCTTCTGCATGTCCCCCATGCCTTCCGTTCCATCATTGGTGGCTGCACTTTCACCCTCTACATTCCGAAACTCTGGAACACTCTTCCTCTATGTCTCTGCCATGCCCCTTCCTTCCCCATTTTCAGGTTGTGCCTAAAGACTTTCCTCTTCGACCGTGCCTTCAGTCACCTTCCCCCTCCCCCTGTCTCGGTGTCTTGCTTCGCCACTATCAAGTGCTCTGGGATGCTACTCCGTGTGAGGGGTGCTATATAAATGCAAGTTGTTGTTTGAACTTACAGTCTAAGCTAATACTCCAATGTTGCACTGGCGTATGCTGGATCAGTAGCGGAAGTAGTAGCGGGCAGGGAGCGGGTGACTGCAACCCCTCCCCCTGCCTTTAGGTGTATGTATGGTACCTTTATTTCCTGGTCCAGCCCTCTTCCCATCACTACCCAAGCTGCCTCTGTGGTACCTCATATCTCCCACTCCGCTTTCCTAACTGCCTCATGCCTACCGCTTCGCCTCTCTTCATTCGCCCAAAAGCCACAATCACTACACTTTACAATAAATCCTGTGAAACGCTTTGTGAGGTCCTCTAAATGTGAATGCGTGATATCAAATGTAAGGATTATTATTTTTATTATCAAGCTGAACAGACATAAAAACACAATACTTAAGATAAAATTTGTTGTTGTATATTAAACGCAAGTATTGTTATTTAGAAATATTAATGTGTATCTAGAATGACCAGGATATTTTCACTCATGTAAACAGCTCAGTGCTGTGATTGGATGGAGGTAGGGTGGGTATTGTGTAAGGATGAAATCTAAACCTCTTGTGATCTTTAACAGAAATATTTGATAATACTGTATTCCTTAACAGAGACCACCATCTAGTGGCTATTCATCGGTTACTGCAGAACCATGCTCACTCATCCAAAGGATTCCTTAGAATAATAATTCTTGAATTAGATATAGTGCTTTAGCACGTGGAAATGTCTCAAAGTTTTCTGTAAACAAAAATTTAGGCTGACATTCCAATGCAGAGCTGGAGGGTGCTTTAGATGTGATGTTAAACCGAGGTCCTGTCTACCTGGTCAAGTGAATGCTAAAGATCCTGTGACACTATTCGAAAAAAGTAGGGAGTTTCTCCCGGTATCGAGGCCAACGATCCCCCAGACAAAATTTGTCAGTCACTTCATTGCTGTTTGTTTGATGTTGCTGTGTGCAAATTGGCTGCTGCAATCACCCTCAAATACGTAGTCACTACAGTTTACAGTCGGACCTGTGAAGCACTTTGAGACGGTGCCCTCCAGACACGATTGGTGTATCAAATGCAGGATTATTATATACAATATTATTATAGTATATAAGAAACAGAAACAGGCTATTCAGCCCAACTGGTCTATGCTGCTGTTTATGCTCCACACAAGCCTCCTCCTGCCCTTCCTTAACTAAGCCTTCAAGCATAACCTTCTATTCCTTTCTCTCTCATGTACCTACCTAGCTTTCTCTTAAATACATATATGCTATTTGCCTCAACAACTCCCTGCGGTAAGCTGTTCCACATTCCCACCACTCTCTGTGTGAAGAAATTTCTTCTAACTTCCCTATTTGATCTATCCTCCGTTCCTCTGGCTCCGGTCTGCTCCACACCCCCCGCCCTAACTGCCCTACCATCAGTGGCCGGGCTTTCAGCTCCTAGGCTCTGGAACTCCATCCCCCAGTGCCTTCGCCTTGCTTCCTCCTTTCCTCCTTCAAGGCCGGTCTCAAGACCTTTCTCTTCAACCGTGCTTTCACCTCCCCTCTCGACTCTGGACCCCCTCCTCGCTCCCTCCCTTCCCTCACCCTGACCATTTCCCCCCTGCTCGGGTCCCGACCCAACTGTCCAGCGCCTTGGGACGTCCTCCCAACGTGAAAGGCGCTCTATAAATGCAATCTTGTTGTTGTTGTATTTGTGACTATTTTATATTGATGGCCCCTGGTTTTGGTCTCTCCCACAAGTGGAAACATCTTCCCTATGTCTACCCTATCAAAACCTTTCATCATTTTAAAGACCTCTGTCAGGTTACTCCTTACCCTCCTCTTTTCAAGAGAAGAGTCCAAGCATGTTCAGCCTTTCCTGATAGGTATAACCTCTCAGTTCTGGGATCATCCTTGTCAATCTCCTTTGCACCCTCTCCAGTGCCTCTACATCCTTTCTATAGTGGGGACCAGAACTGCACAAAGTATTCTATAGTATGCTATAGAAGTTTACAACAGCTTCCCTGCTTTTCATTTCTATCCCTCTAGAAATGAACCCCAATGCCTGGTTTGCATTTTTTTATAATGGCTTTATTGACCTGTATTGCTACTTTTAGTGAATTGTGTATGTGTATCCCTTAGGTCCCTTTGCTCCTCTACCCCATTTAGGTTTTTATTTTCCAGGATATATGCGAGTTCCTTATTCCTTCTACCAAAATGTACCACCTCACACTTTTCTACATTGAATTGCATTTGCCATTTAAATGCCCATTCAGCAAGTTTATTAATGTCTTGCTGTAATTTATTGCAGTCCTCCTCTGTATTAACTACTCCCTCCAATTTGGTGTCGTCTGCAAATTTTGAAATTGTACTGCTGATTCCCGAGTCCAAATCATTAATGTATATTGTGAACAACAGCGCTCCTAATACCGCTCCTGTGGAACACCACTGCCCACACCCTGCCAGTCTGAGTAGCTACCCTTTACCCCTACTCTGTTTTCTGTTTTGCAGCCAGCTTGCTATCCATTCTGCTATTTTCCCCCTGACTCCACATGCTCTGACCTTATTCATTAGTCTATTATGTGGTACTTTATCGAACTCCTTTTGGAAATCTAAATATGTTACATCTACCGCAATCACCCTTGTCTACTCTTTCTGTTACCCCTTCAAGAATTCAATAAGGTTGGTCAAGCATGACCTTCCTTTTTGAAGCTCACAGTTTTCCCTTCTACAGGTTGTATTTGTTGATTAATAAGGCTGTAAGAAAGTCGTGAATTTTTGGTCCAAAATTTGCGGCCACAATTAGTTTGGTGCAGTCAGCGCAAGTACCTGTTGGTTCCAATGAGAGTGTGGGATGGGTTGATCAACAGGCAGATGCTCCAATGGGTGAATGGAAGGATTAATGGACAAATGAATGGTCCAATGGAAATGTGTACTAACCGTTGTCATTAAAAGTTGCAGCAACAACAACAACAAGATTCCATTTATTGAGCGCCTTTCACGTCGGGAGGACGTCCCAAGGCGCTGTACAGTTGGGTCAGGACCCGAGCATTGGGGGGGAAATGGTCAGGGTGAGGGGAGGGAAGGGAAGGAGCGAGGAGGGGGTAGAGAGTCGAGAGGGGAGCTCAAGGCACGGTCAAAGAGAAAGGTCTTGAGACCGGCCTTGAAGGAGGAAAGGGAGGAGGCGGCGAAGGCACTGGGGGATGGAGTTCCAGAGCCTAGGGGCTGAGAGGCTGAAGGCCCGGCCACTGATAGTAGGGCGGTTGGGGCGGGGGATGTGGAGCAGACCGGAGCCAGAGGAACGGAGGGTACGGGCGGGTAGGTAGGGGGATAGTAGGTCGGAGAGGTAGGAGGGAGCAAGGCCGTGAATGGCCTTGTAGGTGAGGATGACCATAAAACCATACAACCATAAAATGTTGTTGGGTGAGTGTTAAAAGTTGTGGTTTCCGCAACAAAATTGTCACCTGTGATTTTCTTCCAACCTCATTACTTAAGCAGTTAATGCCAAAAGTCGAGGGAGAATTTCCTCTTGAAGCGAGAGGACCAGGGTGCGATTCCCGGACAGGGCGAAACTTTAGGCAAGTTTTCTTACTCCATACGCCTCTGTTTACTTAGCAGTAAGTAGGAACCTTATTTTTAGTCGATTGTCAGATCATTTTCCAGGGTAATAATCCCTCAAAAATAAATATGGTCACTCAATCCACAACTGTTTGTGGGACATTGCATGACCTTTTATTTAAAAACACAAAACTTTATTTGACTTGTCTTACATTTTTCTATCAGTGACAGCACCAAGCACACTGTGCAAATTATACATTCTACCAAAAATTTCTGTCGTAAAGAAAGTTTTTAATAAAGAAGCACAAATTAACAGGAACCCCAACTTTGGCCAACTTTTTCCCATTTACCAAGAACATTCGGCAACATCAGAGTAGCATTCAGTTCCATTTTCCCTCTGCTCATTTTAGTTTTTATCTGAATTTGTGGTAGTTGCTACAATCTTGTCTACCAGGAGGATGTTCCTGGCCACTTCCGTGCAAGTTTCTATTAACTGTCGCTTGACACAAGCATTATCCCACACTGGAGTATCCCAGTCTTTGATTAACTGGCCTGTGGATAAGTCAATACCAACAGGCAGGGTTGTGAGTCTCTCTGCCTCCAGTGCCTTCAGTACAATCTCCTGGGGGTCATAGCCAGCATTGCGGGCCAGTGTTTTTGGAATGATCAGCATGGCGTCGATGAAGGCTTGAAACCCGAGCTGTGCCCGACCCTTGACTACATCCTTGAGTCGGTGCTGTAACCAACCTGCAATCCTGATCTCCACTGCTCCGGCCCCAGGCATCGCACACCCATCCTCTAATACGTTCTTCACAACCCGCAAGCCGCCGCGCACGGCATCCCCGACCTGCCTGAGCGTGTGTGCGTTGGGTCCCTTGACCAGTACGGTGACCGAGCGCGGGTTCTTGCAATTCTCAACGAAGGTGTATGTGCGATCTCCCAGTCTCTCCTGACGGACCAGCCCGGCCCGGCCCAAGCACTCCTCAGTCAGATCCTCCAGCGAGTTGACTGCCGTTCCTCCGCACGCCAGGGGCACCCGTTGCATGTTCCTCCGTTTGGCTCGTCTCAGTGCCACGATGCCGCTCCTGGCCAGCTCCTCTAGTGACAACCAGTCGATGCCCTTTTGGTTGATCACCACAAATCCCTTGGCGGAGCCATCGCATACCTTCTCCTTCAGCGCCACAATCTTCCTGACCCGCTCCTCAATGAATCCACGCTCTGCCCTGGCCAAAGTTTCTCTGCCGCAGGCATCCTTGTAGAACAGAGTCGATGATACCTCCGGGGTCTCGTATTCCAGGGAGACATTGAGGGTCAGGATGTAAGCGTCCTCCACCCTCTTCTTCATGCCGGGGTGTCGAGAGCCATGATCGAGGACCAGCCCCAACACCAATTCCGTGTCCCAGGCCATCAAGTGCTGCATCTCCACTATCTCCACCAGGTTCAGGTCAATGGGGCCCCACCTGTCTGGCTTGATGGCCTCCACCGCCAACACCACCACATCTGCTAGATGGTCGGCCAACCCGGGAGGACCCACCTTGGTGCCCAGTGAGGTCCTGGCGACCTTCTTCCTGATGAAGCCGTCGTCGTCCTCCCACAGCTCATCCAGGCAGTTCAGGGCTTGCATCTTGGCCACGTCCAGACCCTGAACCAGGAGCCGGGGGTGGGCTCCCTCGCAGGAGGCATAGCGTTCAGCCTGCCTCAGGATCTCAGCGATGATCAGCACGGCCGAGATGGTGCCGTCACCCACCTCGTCTCCCAGGGTGGTCACAGCCTTGGCGATCAGGCTGGCGGCCGGGTGCTGCAGCTGCACTTCTCTGAGCAGGACGCGCCCCTCCTTGGTCACTCTGATGTCCCCCGCTCCCGACACCAGCATCTTCATGGTGCCTTTGGGCCCCAGGTTGGTTCTGAGCAGCTCTTGCAGAGCCACGGCTGCACTGACATTAGAACTGAGCGCACTCCCCGTCTGGCAACCCAGAGACATGGTGGGCAGGACAGTTACAGTAGTGCGATGGATACAATACTGCACTCTGTAAAAAAAAACAGCTAAATAACTTCCTGGTTTTTCCTGAAATGCTGAGGGCGTGACCGATTTCAGTTTCAAGTCTTAGCAAATTTCCTGTGAACGTTAATTATTACATCAAGGGAGTTGTGGTTTCTGCTCTGGCAGCCAGCTCAAGCCGACAATTCTGTTCAGTCTTGGTCACCGTGGACCATTTGGTTATTGGGTAATTTATTTAAACATTGTTAAATTCAGTCAGGATTTGGAAGTCGCTTGTTTATTACTTAAAAAAAAACTGGCTTCCACATCGAGACTGAATTTATAACAATAATATTCCTTGCATTTGATATAGGACTTTTCATGTCTTTGTGAGATGTCTCAAAGCGCTTCACAGAATATACTGCAAAGTGAACTGACTGTAAATTTTGCGGGTGAAACTTGGCAGCCAATTGCACACAGGAGTGTCCGACAAACAGTCCTGGGGATTGAGTGACCAGATCATTATTTATTTATTTTTTAAAGAGATTTTTTGAGACCGTTTTACCCCCACCCCAAAAAAAATTCTGCACAATCTTAATATGTAAGACAGTGGTCTCAAGCCTAAGGGCATAAAAAATTTGGGATCCCAGAGAGGTACTGAGTTCTGCCCAGTTTACCGAGATCCCAGGGCCTGTAACAAAAAGGAATTGCCTGTACTGGTGTCATTTAGGCGTGTCTGGCTGCTGTGAAGTCCTTATGGTCTCTCTCTCTCTCCAAACAAATAGTAGTAAAGCTGCGTTGTGCCTTGTAAGCTCTGAGGAGCTGGATAAACATTGTAGTCAAGAGCCTGGCGATAAGCGAGGCCCACTGTTGTACACTGCTGTCTCCTGGCGATGTTGCCTGTTTACGTCAACACATTCTGCAATAATAAACTTGATGTCAAGAGGGCGCTAAAACTCCTTCCTCAGAGAAATACAAAGGATCCTTCACTTTTGTGCAGATGCAAGAAAAAAAACATTGACAAACGTAACAAGAACACCCAAAATTGTCCAACCTTTCACTGCTTGAATTTTGGGCTTGAATTTTGTACTTCTTGTTCTGCGCCCTTAACCTCTGGAGCTCACCCCCACTGTCTACTTCCCTTTTTGTCCATTTTCAAATCCCACCGTAAAACCCAACGCTTCAACTGACCTTGCATCAATGACATTCTGTCTATCTATGACCAGGGCTCTCTCTGTCTCCTCACATTTGGTATAGTGCTTCTCTCGGGCCTTATATTTGGTAGAGCACCTTTCACATCAAGAAGATAACTCAAAGCACTTCACCGAATACACTGCAAATAATAATTATAATAATACTTGTATTCAATATAGTACCTTATCATATCATTGAGACATCTCAAAGCACTTCACAGAATATAAAGTAAAGTGAATTAACTACGTTTTGTGGGCAGAACATAGCTGCCAATTTGCACACTGGAATGTCCCACCAAACAGCCGTGAGCCAAATGATTTAGGGTGCAGTGCTTTCAACATCAAATCCCATAACAACACTTTCCTTTAAGGCTCACACATGAATAAACATGTGGGCAATGTACTGCAAGATGCAGGCCTGTGATTTCAATCTCCAGACATGAGCCTTCAGAAGCTCCTTCCTCTCTGTAACTTTGATTGAAATCAGGTGTCATTTATTCGGCTCAGTGAGTGAGATCAGATGTTTATCACCTGGTGGGAATGAACTGTGGGCTACCTCGTACCTGCTGAACCCTCTCACACCCTCTCGGCCTCCCTCAGACATCTCAAGCCTTCCTTGGACTCCCTCAGACCCCTCAACAACAACAACTTGCATTTACATAGCACCCTTCACGTGGGGTAGCGTCTTGCAGCACTTAACAGTAGGGACAATTTTTCAGTTTCAAGACAGGTGTATATGCTGTATTTTACCAGTAGATGGAGCCATAAACATGATACAGTGAATGGGGCAACAGTGTAAGAGAAAGATATACACAGAGATGAGCTCAACAATGGGACCAATTTAGTTTTGAGCTCAATGTCACATCGAGTGTAGCTGGACATGCCTTAGGCAGATGTCTCCCAATCAACCCCCCGCCACCTTGTGGAATCCTGAATCCTGTAGAGTATGTGGAGACCTGTCGTGCATTGATTCGAGCACTCACTTCGGAAATAAGAAGACCAGGGTTCGATTCCCGGGCGGGAACAATAATCCCTCCCACCAAAGCATTTTTAAAATGAATCCAGGACTGTTTGCAGAACACCGCTGTGTGCAATTGCCTGCCGTGTTCTCCCACAAAAAACACAGTCAATTCACTTTACAATAAAATCCTTTTGAGGTGTCCCCCCAACATGAAAGGAGCTATATCAAATGTAAGGGTTTATTATAAGTGGGAAAAAGTGGAATTGTGTTATGGTATGTTCTGTAAGTTAAAGAGTTAAGTAAATTTCCAATTATGGCCTCATTTCAAATCTTAACACTGAAGAAGCCAATTTCACATCTCAATGTGTGGCAGAGACGTGACTCGATAAACTGATGCTGTCAACAAATTCTGCATCAACAAGAAATAAGCACCTCCTTGATTATAATGTAATGGTTCTGCCAATATATTTTTTCCCCCAATGTATAATAGTGCGGCTACAAGATTGAGTTCAGTGCCTGAGGTCTATGAGCTGTACATCAGCTCAAATAATCATTCATCGCAACACATCACGAGGACGGCAGTCTGAGATGGATGTTAGGAAAGTGCACAGTGAGGGAACACACGACACGTCTCGCAACTGATTGCAGCATTACAGTTTAAGAGAAATTGCAAAGCTGTATATCTTAATGCAACTTTGGGTTATTTTGCAACATATTTTGTTCAAGTCCATAACAGCAATGCCTACTTGTTCTTATCATACAGTTCCTTCCATGCCCACCTGATCAGACACAGAGGGGACCTCAGTTTAACGTCTCAATTAAAGAGTGGCACCTCTGGTAATGCAGCACTGTATTGGAATGTCAGCTTTGAACAGTTTATATATGTAAAAAAAACAGTCAGGTATTGTGACCTTTACATATGTGACCACCATGCTCACTTACCTTAATAATAATCCTTGCATTTGATATAGCGCCTTATCATATTCTTGAGACGTCTCAAAGCGCTTCACAGGATATACTGTAAAGTGGATTGACTGTGTATTTTGTGGGCGATTCGTGACAGCGAATTGCGTACAGTAGAGTCCTACTTACTGCTGGATAAATAGAGGTGTGTGGAGTAAGGAAATTGCCCAAGGTTTTAAGGTGGGACTGGAATCGAACCCAGATCCACTCACTTGCGAGGTGAGCGTGCTAACCACTACGCTATGAGAAACCGAGACACTACTTAATACCCTAACTGTGAGGTCAATTGCAATCACTCTCTTTGTTGATAGAATAGAGATAGATCTGCATTTCGAGGAGGTCAGGGATAGCAGCAACCCTGCAGAATGACAGATTTCAAAGGCCCATTGCTAAATCTGCACATTGATTTTTCTTTAGCCATTTCCAAATCTTTTGAGAAACAGAATTATAATAATAAAGTGGATTGACTGTCTATTTCGTGGGTGAATTCCGGCAGCCAGTTTTCACACAGCAATATTCCAGCACAGCACATTTGAGAGATTCTTACCCCAGGAAAGTGATCCGCCAATCGACTAACAACTGGGTTCCTACTTACTGCTAGATAAACAGAGGTGTGTGGAGTAAAGAAACACATGAGTGACGATTTTTTTTGGAGGGATTATTACCCCCGCAAAAGCAATCCACCAATTGACTAATAACCAGGCCTTATCACGTCGTCGAGATGTCCCAAACACTTTGTGGGATACACTGTCACTCCACGGCTGTGTGTGAGACATTGCTGTGCGCAAACTGGCAGACACATTTCACCCATAAAATATACAGGCACAGTCATGGTGAAGCACTTTGAGATGCCTTTGCGACATGATCAGGCACTATATCAAATGCAAAGATTATTGTTATATCCTGTAAAGTGGTGTGGCTGTGTATTTTGTAGGCAAAATAATACAAGCAGATTTAATGGCAGCAGTGGACTGTCCAGTGTGTTCATTTAACAACGGCTCCAAAATATTTCCATTGTCCTTTATTATTTTTTACTTCTTTGTTTTCATTGCCTTTTTTGAGTGCCGATCAGATAGATAAAATCCCTCAGTGACTGCTAATATCCAGAGGCTATCACGTACACAATACGGAATCCATACAGAATGATACAGTATGCACAAATCCAATGAATCTTGTAAATTCTTAAAGGTTACACAGATTTGATTCACAAACCTCCTGTGAGTGCTAATAACACAATGCGACAATGCTCAGTGAATGTTAATAACCCAGTGCTACAGTGCTCCATGCTCTACAGCATTTTTTGTTCCCTATCCGCACCTATAAATCCCTCCTTATCCTAGTAACTCAGGCAGGGCGAAATGTTAGCCAAGTTTCCTTACTCCAACATGCCCTTGTTTATCTAACAGTAAGCAGGGACCTGGTTGTTAGTCAATTGGCAGATTGCTTTTCTGGGGTAATAATCCCTTAATAAATAAATAAATAATTTGTTCACTCTATTTATAACTGTTTTTGGGACACTGCTGCGCGCAATTGACTGCCGCGTTTCAGCAACAAAATATACAGTCAATTCACTTGTTATTCTGTAGTATATTATTAGTATATTCTGTGAAGTGCTTTGAGACATCTCAATGATGTGATAAGGCGCTATATCAAATGCAAGGATTATTATTATTATTATGATCAGATGTTTAACATCTCCTATGGTTGAACATTGCATCCAAAGGACGGCATCTCTAACAGTGCAACCCTTCCGCAGTTCTGCTCTGGAGAGTGAGACTGTGTGGAAAAAAGGCCCAAGGTGGGGCTTGAACCCTCAGCCATCTGACACAGAGGCGAGAATGACACGCAAAGTAAACTATTTCCACGAGAGACGAGAATGTTTAGCATTTCTGCACAATAACGAAAGATGCTCAGATGCAGCAAAACTGAAGAAGGAACACTTTTTTCGTATTTTAAATTCATGAAACCACAAGAAGGCAAATGATGCAGAAACGAGAAGAGATGATTCTGGTCTCCCAGATTGGTTCCCATCCCACTTCTTGAGTATTTTTATTCGCGCTGAAACAAAACTATTGAATTCCACGCTCCGGTGTACACTGGAAAGAGGTTGTCTGTGCTGGGTCCCTCAGTTTTTGTC